CTATGGAAGTTTCGTCCGCTTTGGAGTTATTGAAAATTGTGCAAGTTCATTAAACTAAACACACGTTTCCGTTTAAGAAGAATGACTTTTCTCGGATTCCAAACGGATAAAAGCGAACGTTTTTTTTTTAACGAATCAGTAGAGTGAAAGACGTAGTTTCATATTATATATAATTTTCTCAAGGATGTTTTTTCCTTATTGTTTTTTTATGTATAGTAAAAAAACCGGCTCCTAATCCTTATTAGTGGTGCTTTTCAACGAAGTTTTCTTTGTGTTTTCCGATTAATGCTAACAAGAGGAACAAAGACTTTTATATCATTAAATAACCTATAAGTTAGATTGTGTTGCCCCACTTAAGCCAATATAAAAGGTACACTTTCAATTTTTCAGCTAATGTCTACCTGGATTTTTCGAGTATCATATTGTGAAGAAATTTACTGCTCATGATGAATTTTCTAGACATAAAAATCGTAACGTTGTAGTGATTGGAAAATTGTTGCAATTCTTATTACTAATGATGATAATATTCTTTTTTTTTTTTTAGTGGAAATATTTGTTACCAATTGTTGTGATAGTACTTCTTCAAAATGTTTTTACTAACGATGCTGCTGGTGGTGGTGGTGGTGGCCAGAATGCTGGTGGACAATAAGTGTCATTCCTTTAGTTTCTTTTTTTTTTCTTTTTTTGTTACAAATTTCGATACTGATTTATGATTGTTTGTCTGTTTGTCTGTTTGTCTTGTCTTCGGTTAATGTTCTCTGTTTTTTTTTCTTTTTACGCAAATAAGATAGAACTCTTGAGACATTGTTCAGTAATATATGCAAAATGAATGAAGTAGAGTGTTCATGGTCAATTAGCCGACAACATATTCGTTCATCAATGTCAGTCGATTTCCAATGGTTTCTTTACTTAAATACACAAATGCCATATTTTCTCATTGGAAAGAAAAAAAAAGCTCAATCAATTTTCTTCAATTGATTGACATCATCGATTAGTCATGCATATGAAACAAAAACTATAGATAGTTTTTTTTCTATAACTTAACTTTTTTGTTAATACTATATTAATTGGTACATACATTTTCTACTGAACTCACGTAAGTATGACGAAACAATATATTAATTTTTGTCTGACAGTTGACTGTTATTCAAGGATAGATAAAGTCTATATTGCGTCAGTTAGAATCAAATATTGATCCATCATAGGATTGAATAGGATATTTAATTTTTTAAAGTAACAATTGTTATTTTATAAAAATCTCACCTCATTAAATGTTATATTTAACTCATAAATTGTCGGACAACTATGAAAATATTCATTAAAGATATTCAAGAAAATTCTTCATAATTTGATCACAAGTTAACGTCTGAAGCGTTCTTTTTTTTTTATTTTGTTTTATGAACAAATATTCTTAATGAATAATTTCTATTATATACATAGTAGTAGCTTTCTATTACTTTTTCGAAGCTCTAATGAATATACATATTTGTAACTATCAATTGTTGTCATATGAAAAACGAACCATTTGGTTAAATATTAACTGAACCTTGATCGATTAACAACAATGATACCGTTCTACGCACAATATTGCTAACATAACACTTCTTTCAATTGTTTGAATACGATATAATTTTTTTTACGTGGTGTAATATCACTACGTTGGTGTATGTGTGAGTGTTGACAAGAACATCCTACTTCTTTTCTACATTACTAATGGTATCGTTGACACACCCATCATCACTTCACATCTCGTGAATGACCTATTTAGTTCAATATACATAAAACATAAGTCAAATACCGAAAGATATATGATTTCATTTTAACACTTTCCGTCAAAAAAAAAAGAAAAATGACGATAGAAGATTTTTCTAAACTTGATACTACACATTCGTTTTCTTTTTTTTTTTTTCTTTTTAATATTATACACATTTGCTCCTTTCAAGTATCTTTTTCATAGAATACAGAAAAAAAAGAGAATAGATTGAGTTCTTTTCTTTCTTAAGTATTATATACAAAACATTGGCATTTCATGAGCATGTCTAATTCATACTTGAAATTACTAGATGATGATGATAATAATAATAATAATAATATATGCACAGTGCATTGAACAATTAGGTTCATATTTTGTTACTTTTAAGTGTCTATGTGCTATTCATGTCAATTGAATGAACATCATTCAAGTTTTCTCATCATATTTCATATACACAAACGGAAGCAAAAGAAAAGATAACGTCTTTTTAACCTTGAACAATCGATTATCAAGTAAATACTCATGAATGCATTGTGTATTGAGAAAAGCGATCAATTTTCTCACTTGCCTTTCAACATTCTTTTTTTTCTTACACTATATACGATATGTAAAATGAAAAGAATGACAGATAGTATCATAGGAAAAAATGCGCCATGAAATAAATCCGATTGATATCGCACTATAGTAATTCATGAATGTAATCAGAACTTCTCAGATATACTTATAAATAAATAGCATAGCAATTTTTTTTTCTTTTAATATATATTGTGCTTTTTCTTAGAGTTTTGTTGAACACGTATAGAATATATTTTTAATAATTGAATTTTTACACGAGAATGAACATACGATGACCCTCGAATTGATGTACTTGTATAACATACATGTGTAGATGTATATATATGTACATTATCAACATTGACAACCATTGATTCTACGACAAAAAAAAAAAAAGTAGAAAGACAGAAGCAATACAAGAAAGAGAGGATATGCAGTCTTTGCAAGGTAGGTGAAAAAGAAAAAAAAACGAATAGGGAAGTATATGACAGAGATAGAGAATAACGAGAGAGGCAGTTTAGATAAAAAGAAAAAAAGAAAAGACGAACATCACTCATCTAACCAACGATATGTGCATAATTGCAGATTAGACTTCCGTGAAAATGTAAGTTATTAAGTATCTTTATTATACTTATTTTGTTTTTTTAATAATTATTCGAGAAGATACGATATATCATTACTGTAATTATCGATATCTGTATAAAAATATAATCGATTTGACTTCATGATAGATATTATAATTTGATAGCAACAACAACAAAAGCATAAGTATGAAGAAAATATATTCTTTCGGTATTTAGTATCAAATAAGACGACATTTTTTTCATCAATAATTATAAAAATGTTGATGTCAAGGTTGTAATGGTACCGATCAAGAATGTACTGGTTTATCCATCATTCTTCATATAGCAGAGGAAAAAAAGCAAGACTTATCGAAGGTCTTTTTTACTTCCAAGATGATCAAATCGAAGTGTAAGTAGTAAAGATACATAGAATCTATTTCTGTCTTTCGTTCTTTTTCAAATCATCGTTATGATGACATGTCATTATCGAGCGTGTTACATCGTTCATACGTATCATCTTCTGATGATTGTGAAGGATGATAGGAGGGACTGATCATACATATGTATACATTTTGAATGCGAGAAGACCTAAAGCGTTATGATACAAATGTAATTTTGTCTACACGAGAATGACACATATATTCGATGATGATGATGATGATGATCAGTGTGGCGTATGAAGAGAGAAAAAAAGGAAAAGAGAGAGAGAGAGAGAGAGATGATAACCGATACGGTATGGCGAGACAAACGAGGAAAAAAGGTGACAGCTGCTATCACTTGCTTTCATTCAAACAGAATTTATCCATAGGTTACAATAACAATGTTTTAGATTTAATCAATGTTGTTGTTTTCTTTTTTATACCTTAGGTAAGATGTTCTTTTAATGATTTTGATAAGTCTTTTAGAAAATCTTGTCGTTAAGTTCTATATCATATTAATAATCTATCTTTAGTTATTCGAGAAAAAAACCCTAACACATTTAATCGGTTTAATAGATTATCTTATTAAATATTTCACCATAGGCATATTTGATTATCTTTTGACATTTTGAATATTCAGTCAATATATTAGATAAGATTTTCACTTCAACGTTGTTTCTATAAACTATGCCTTGTTCTCTATCGTTTGCGTAATATATTTTCATTCTATCAATGTCAACCATTAGTTTCTATCAGTAGTATGATATGACCTCGGTTCAACGCCATCATCTCCAATATTGTCTGAAGAACGAGAAAAACGATTGACTCACTTGTTGAGAGTATATGTCATTATCTATTATCATACATACATTTACCTTCAACTGTACAATAGAGAATTATTCTATATTGTTCATTCTTTCTTTTTTCTTCTATATATCTTTTTATTCCATGGTAAGATATATTCAAGTTGTTATTATTCTTTTTATGTTTCATATTTATCTATGATATGTATATGTATATAACCATACAAAATCTCATATAATATAGATATATGTCCATAATCATTATCATCAGTTGACTATAAGTCAATTTTACTTGTTGAGCCTCTTTAATATATATATATATATATTTTCTTTTCTGATATGATAATGATGATGCAATAATCATTAAAAGTAAGAGCGAAGAAAAAGAAAAATTCGATCATCAAATCAGATAATCGTTTTGCTTGTTGATCGATTTATTCATTGAACGTGACATTTTCATCTCTAGTTGTACATGTAATAGAAATAAGAAAAAAAAGACGAAGAAGCTTAGGTAAAAAAAAGAAATAAATAATTTTAACTTTCATGTATACACTGACATGTTCAAGGATTATGAACTACTTATGTGAAATATTTCTTTAAAAAAAAAAGACAGTATGATCAATGCAACTGGATACCATATTTTATTAGAAAAATATTGTCAATGAAGAGGATTAACGTGAGAAATAGAAGAGAAGAATGTCTATACACCAGCTGCCTATCAAAGGTGTATATTAAGACTTCAATTTGTCTCAGCTTTATTTTTTAATGATTACATTATATGTATGTTTTGTTTCTATGTCATTTCAGATATATACAATGCATAATTGCTTGTACACGGGCTCTTTTTTCAGCTTGTTTTTGTTATCGATTTAAATATGTATGTCAATGTAAATAGTATTCATTGTATATGATGATGATGATGATGCAAAAAAATTTTGATGATGAAAATAATCGATCATTGAACTATACAAAAATTGATCAATGTCAAGATAATAATTGTAGTGATAATGATGATTATTATAGACAAATTTTACATTCAAATGAACATATTAATTATAAACAAGATATAAAGTTAAAAATAATATTAACAAATCGACTACGTTTAATATTATTTATTTTTTTAATTTTAACATCTCAATCAAATGCTGTACCTATTTTTCAATCATTACCAATATCAGGTTAATATTTAATAATAATAAATTTTATTTATTATATTTGTTTATTGTTGTTTTTTTTTAGTTGATTCTAATCAATCTAGTGGTTTATCTTCTATTCAACAATCTTCATCATCTTTACCTATTGCTATGGTTCAATTAACTGATCGTTCTCTGTATCCTCAATCATTATATAAGGTCTATCGACGTATGTCAAATCCAGTTCAACAACAAAAACAACAACAACAACAACAGCTTAAAAATATTCCGAGTTATTCGAATGGTGCTGTTATAAATATTTATGATCAAACAAATTTTATTAATCAACAACAACAACAACAACAACAATCAGCAATGATTTTTCAAAATCCTAATGAACAACAATTAACATTACAATTAAAACGTGAACGACAACGTCGTACGATGATTGATAGAATGGTTTCAATGTTTGATGAAGATGGTTTGTTCGTTTTTTTTTTCTCTTTTTGTATTTATTTTTAAATTAATTTTTGATATAGGCGATGGACAATTAGAAAGAGATGAATTATATTCAATGGCTTTACGTTCGAATATGTTTCCAAAATTTCATCACTATCTTAAACAAGCATCATCATAAATAATCTGATTCAAACACAGTTTTATATAAATATATATATTTAAAAGTATTAAAAAGAAACAAGACTTAATATACTACTGAATTTCTACGTGGTCTCTGCATTGTGTACAGTGTGACTTCCTTCTTTTTTGTCTTTATTGTTGTTACGTCTTTTTTTTTTGACATATTGAATGAAAAGAAAAATTAGGAATGTTCAACAAAATTTTTGTACTTATTAAAACTAATTGATTGTTATTTTTCTTTTTATTTCACAGTTACACACATTGAACTTGCATGTTACAAATTTTATTTGTTGTTGTTGATGGAGTTTGATATGAATAAGATGGAATGATCGTTTGAGAACATGGAGAACAACATGTATTATTATTAGAATAGTCTATACAATTTGTTGTAATATAAGTCGGATTATTACAACAGTCAGTTGGACAACATATATTACTAGTTGGCTGAGTCCAACATTGAATTTCTTGAGGATCGCATTGACTGGGAATTATGGAACAACTAAAAAAAAGGATAACGAATGATCGGGAAGTTTTTAGATAAGATGTTTGTTCACTTTTTATCTGCTAGAAAGCATTAAAAACTATTGAGTTATGATGCTCTTTTCGAATATGGACTTAGAAATGTTGTGTCTATTTTTTGGCGAACTTTTTGAAAGATCTGAAAAATTATTTTTAACTGTGAGTTAACAAGTTTTTGTTTACTCTACAAAGCCTTTTTCAGATATGCTAAAAGGTTGTCGGAGGCAGTCATTTTGTAGAGCAAACACTTCTCTAGAAAATGTGATGTTGAGCTTAGCTGTAGCTTTTACTCAAGCAGTTCCTTTCAACGTAAAATGGTTGTCTATTTCTCAAAAATAAGTATTTAGAGAAAGCGGAAATTAAAGTGTCTTGTGTAGAGCTCGTCGGGTCCAAAATTTTCGGATTCAGATTCTATTGAACCCTACTTTGATACTCTGAATGTAATTTTTTAATCGAAATTGGATAGTCACTTCGAAGATACGAGATACTTTTTTCCGTTTTTTTTTGTATTCGATGACTAGTGTACCGTGCACATTTCTCAAATGACGAGATCCATCAGGTCCCGATCCAAGCGACGAGTTCTAGTGGCTTATCAAAAGATAAAAAAAAGCTTTAAAAAATGCATTTTGTAGGGTAGCTTCTGATCTACGAGCTGATATATGAATAGAGATCTCAAGTTGTAGTTTGGAATCGTAATAGTGAAAATACAAAAATTTTCTGTTCAAACTAATTTTTAGAGCTTTTTAAAGATTATTTCACTGCTCTTGAAGAAAACCTGAGACAAAATTTCTAAGCATGAGCGCAAACCCATAGCTTTTGATTCGTCGGAAATACTTTCTAGAGCATCAAAAGTGAACAAACATCTTGTCTGGAAACTTTCCGATCACCTATTATTAAATGCACATTAAGAATTTGTGGAAAGAAAATGTATTGCAAAAAAAAAATGAAACATCTCGTTTTACTATTCAATTTTCTTACTTTTTTACACGATTGTTACATAACGATTGGTATCTCATTTTATTATTATTATTATTATCATCATAGCATCGTATGAAAACGCTTCTATCATAATTAATTGGTAGATGCTTTCGTGTTGATGTCCAAGTATTATAATAAAAATTACCATAAGTCATATTTGTTGTTTTATATCTTTCTGATGGACAACAAATACAAGTAAAGCACATATGTGATGAATTATTTCTACACATAGGATTATATATTATTTTGTAAAATTGTTGTAGTGGACGATAACAATTCGATGTACGATAATTATTTAACTTGTTATTTATCCAGATGTTATTACAATTATTATAGGAAAGTGTTGTACTACATGGATCAGTATAATTACATATTGGTGAACAATTATTGGTAGAATTATATGTAAACATAATTGTATGTCGAGATCGGGAAAAGAAAAAAAAGATGTACACTATCAAAGTTACGTTTTCAGGTCGGAAAAAAATGATAAAATAAAAGGAAAGCGCTGAAATATTTCTTTCGAATCTTTATATATATATTATATGAAATGATTTTAAAGCTTTTTTTATAATAGTCATCCGCCGAAGTCACATGTTATATACATGTTCTACTTATTTCATGATCTATCTACAAATATGTCTTGAACACAATAGAATATGTCAGAAGAGTTTATTTCTTGTAATATCGTATTGTAAATTAAAAGATAAATTTATTGAACAGAAATGAGTAGTCATTATGACTATTAATCTATTGTCAGAATAAAATTCTAATACATTTTTTAAACGTAATATAACATTATGTACAATTAATTATTTCGAAGGTCAACATTCTCGTATGAAAAGACATGTCAAACTCTCCAGATCAAACATTTATATTGTGATTGATTTACTACAACAAGAACAATCATTAGCATCGATTGCCAGAATACGAGATGACATGGGGAGCTCTAACTTCAAAACGTCGGAAACATAAAATCATAACAGATGAATGTTTAATAAAATTATGACAATGTTATGATAAAGGTCGTATTGATACTCCAGCATTCTTGAAAGCTGTTAGATTGAGATATTTTTAATGACTGTCAAAAAGTTAATCAGCTATATCTGTTTGTTGTTTATTCATATATTTATTGGAATCATTTTTTTTTGTTCTGACAATACATTGATTGTCGTAATGATTACTTATTTCTTTTCTTCCAAACAATCGACGAAAAGTAAATTCTCATACAAGAAAAAACAGTCATCGGAATATATTTTTTATGTAATCAATAGATATTAAATCGTGTAAACTATTGAGAGAGAAGACGAAATAAAAAAATTGTTAAAATAAGATGATCGGATAGTATCAAATCATTATTATCTTTGAAATCATACCATTGAATAGGAAACGGTATTAAGTTAGAAAAATGTAATAGAAATCAACTTCAAGACAATATCAAAAGTATTTACAATAATATGAAATTACAAATCATTAAGCCTTGCGAAATATGTATAAGCTGTATGGAAGAATTATTTTTAATCAATTATTTGTCATTTACAGAGTTGTTGTAAATCAATTTGTCGATGCCGAACATTTATTAATTAATAGTACATGTTATCTCTTACTCAAAATAAGTTCTAGCAGAGAGTATTGTGAATTTAACTCTTGGTTTAAAAAATGCTCTGTGATTCTTAAATTATATGCTTGTTCGATGTAGCTACAATTAGTCTAAGCGAAAGTTTAACTCTGTACAAAAAAACCGATCGAAAGACTAAAATCAATCAGCTATAAGTAAATCAATGTTTACTGGATAATTACATGATTTTGAAATAAAACTCATTTATCTATCTAAAGAATTTGAGAAAAGAAAGATTGTTAAACATCAATTAACACTTTTTGTCTTAAGAAAAGTGATTTGAAAACACGATTGCCTTATATCAATCTATTGACCGATGAAAATTGGTATCAGTAAGAAAGAAATTTTATTAATTTTCATTATTCTTCTTATTATCCAATAGACTGTTATTTTATGAAGTACTCATTTCTTTTTTTTTTGAGATGGTATTTGACTGGAACAAATAAACTTGTCGAAGATAATGCTAAAACAATGAAATCATCTGAAATCTTGAAAGGATTCTAGTCCATTGTTTCAACTTGTATTTCGATAAACAAAGTCGATTAAGTTTTTATTTTGATTCAATTTAACTTTTATTTAAATATCAATAAACCAAAAATGAAAAAAAAAAATTCTTGACTAACATGCAAAGTGGCATCCAACCTTATAATAGAATATTTTCATAAGATTATCGATAGTTGTATTTGGAATTTTATGTCACATAAAACTTTTATGAATTCACATTTTAAAGAATATTTTATTCTTATCGATAGTAACCTTTTTTACTCTTTATAATTATGATTAATAGAACCCATGATGATATGTTATCTTTATATGTTCTGAATGTCTCTTTATACATAAACAGATATTCTTCTCATTTTTTACAACTAAATACTAATCATTGTTGTATTGAAATTTGCTAGTAAATTTTTGTATTATAATTATATCTCGGATCTGTGTAAGCATATTTTTTCTTTCATTTTAAATCAGTCTTCCATTGCAATAGTTTTAGCTCGATATAAGCTTATTCTATGGTACAACACGGACGGTTCGCTTGGACTATGTGTTTGATCTAACCATATCAAGTCTTCATATTCTTTTTTTAGATTGTTTCTATTGACAAGATCAAATATATGTCATACCGTCTTGTGTAAATCTATCACAATATGTCAATTATTTCATGCTCAAATTATTTTTAATCATTTTCTAATTGTTTTTCCAGCAAAATTGCAACATAGTTCATCCAGTCGCATATTTACTAGGGTTCGTGTTAAACATGTGAAGTCGTAAAAAATTATATTTTGTTTACTTCGCGTGTGTAATAGTTGTATCTGTGAGAGCTTCTATGAATACTTTACATACGTTGCCGATAATTATACTTTTTCCTAATCTTTGCGACTGAATTATTGAAATGACAAATATGATGCTTGCCAGATCGTACAGACATGTTTTATGATGATAATTAGACAGAGAAACCTTGTTTATTAAATGGAGAAAATCGTCAAGTATAACTAAAGAAACGGTAATTATTAGTGATATGACAAATGTTAGAAAATGTTAATCGTTTTGTGGATTTATTACTAATATTTCTAGGTCTTAATTATTGTTTATATACTACATTATGGATTCTGTTAAATACATCAGATTAATACTGGAGCGATAATACACCATTAAGCAATTAACTTGCTGACAGTAATCTATTTCAATGATACTCAATGAGCTTTTTTTTTTAGATAACTATGTATGGAAAACATCGTACTCGTTTACGATAACAGTGTAGTATAGTCACAAAACACTTAGCAGTGCTGAAAATTCAAAGTTTTTCAGAAAGATAAACATGAAAAATATAGGAAGGATTGTTTTGGTTATCTTCAATGTATTGTACACATTATATATTTAGGTCGTTT